AAATTCTGGATTGATATATGTACCTACATATGCCTAGCTAACAAATTTGAAATTTGAATTGTATAACAGAATGGAACTCGTGCATTACCGTTTACAGATGTTTTCCAGACGAATTTGACAAACTTTCTTATTATTTTAATATATAAATATTTAAATTAACAATATTATATTAGAAAGAACAGATTATAGTTAAAATTATTATTCAAATTATAAAATTCTTTATTATAAAGAAAGAAGTTTCATACATACCAACTTTAATTCGCTTGTTCCCCTATCGTTTCATAGACGTCGCTAAAAACGCTTTCAGGACATTTCCATAGTTTCTAAGAAGTGGAGAGAGGAGAGGGAGGCGAACTGAAATTACATAAAACAATTATTATCGCGTGGTGTTAACGAGTCACTGAATTCTAGAGCGCGGTTAAGGTTCGTTTTCTTAGGTTACGTATATGTTTATATTTATTCAAGGTTACACTAACATAGAACATTATAATGTTTAAAAATCGCGGGCCCGAGCTTCTATAAATTTTCGAGGCGGTTTTTGTTTTTGCTTTTTACTTAACGTTCGTAAATATACCCAGTTTAAAATCGGTGCGTAGAACGTGCTGTTCTTTGGTAATTACGCACTACATTCCGTTATCGACAAGATAGACGATCCATCAATAGATATTACCTTTATTGTCTATTTAAACTGACGTTATTAAATTCTTCTTTTTTTCTTTGCTAAGAAATCCAAAAATCAAGTATGTCTGCATCACCCATCGCAAGGCAGGCTACTCAAAGCCAAAGTATACCTTTGAAGAAAATATTGTTCTCCGATCCTAGTCAGTTACCTGCTGATTATTCATCCACCCCTGGTGGAACGCTGTTTTCAACAACACCTGGAGGTCAGTGAGTTTGTTTTCGTTAATACAATCTTATTCGAAGGTACGATTAGTATGGAACTTTAATTAACATAAAGATATCGTGGATCTTACATGTAAAAAGCTCTATAAATTGTATATTATTCAATTGATGAAACAGTCAATAAACATTAATATAGTTGCAGAACGTCTTAATTGATCATAATTAAAACTTCTACAAATATAATTTTCAGAAGATTTTCATTTCATTATCAACATATTTACTGTTTATGTTTTGAGGATGATAGTTTAGTGTGTTTAAATGTGTGTGGTATATAATGTAAACAAACGATT